TGCGTAAACATGGAGAATCCTGAGCGCCCGATATTGCAGAGCCTGCTGAACTTGGAGGTAGCCGGCTGGTTTTGACAGTCTGAAGTTTTTCACCCTGAAACTCAGCAAAACTGGACTTGCAACGGTCAGCTGGCAGTGACATTGTTTAGGTCCACACTTTTTCACCCGCGAGGGTCGATCATCTGTCGCAGCTGCCCAAAATTTCCACTTTAGCTTCCTGCTACATACGCTGGCGTAGTTGTTCGAGAGGAGAGCTTCCCTTTCGAAGCACGACGATCATTACAGTTGCGGTTTTCCTCGTGCAGCCAGGGAGCAGGGAGCTGCCTCGTCCCGTGCAGGCCGAGCTGCAGCAGGTCTTTGAGCGGCTTGCCAGTCAGGCCCTTCTAAGCGGCTTGCGGAAGCTGAAAGACTCATCTACCGGCTGGTTGCCATTCGGAACCCCATGACCCATGACCGGCCTTATAATGATTGTAGTGAAGCAGCCCGAGAGAAGGCTATCACGGATCGCCGCTGTAGGTGCACGACCTGCAGAAGGACGTGCAGGTGGCGTCGCTCCCGGAGCCAAGCCGCGAGTTAAGCGACTGGAATGTGCCCGGCGAGCGCTTTCCCATTGCCTCCTTGCTTGAAAGTTGTATTTCCAGCAACTTGGCAGCTTCATCAGCTATGCTTTGCAGTCTTGTGACAGCCTACAGCTTCGCGAGTGTTTAGCCGGGCTCTTCGACAGGTTGTGATTCTATTTGTGAGCGGTATGATACGGAAAAACCGGTCGGCGGACTCGCGGGCGAGCCCGTCCGACGACAAGCATCTGTCCTCCACCAATCGACGAAGGCGATCGGTCCGGCTCCGTCATGCTCCGTCAATGAACGATGGGAGTTTCAACATTAAGAAGTAGATTAGCCTAACTAACGTATGCAGCTAGCCTTGCGGCGCAAAGCTTGTTTGCCAGGGAGCTCTTGATCAACCGCAGTTGCGACTCAGTCCCCTTCTCATGGAGCATTCCGTCTGCAGGCAGCTACACTTTGCGAGAGTCTCTGCAGGTCTTCAATCAGGTCTCTGTGTCCAGCGGCGTGACATGTGCCCTCGCAACCACGACCGAGGCTTTCCATGAAGAGCAATGGAGCTCTGAACCACATTGACAGGCAGAAAATGAGGGAAAGCGTGGAGGTAGTGCCTTGTCTGAGACCCGGGCGGCTGTAAAGTCTGATGTCTTTTCAGTGTGCCTAACAAACGAAGAAGGCACAGTCAAAGAGCCGCCCCATCAGTCGGCCCGCGGCGAAGATGCTCGAAGACGTGCAGCGTTGCAGGCCCGGCCGTGATCTGGGAGTGAACGTTCAGGCAATTTGAGGGCATCTCTCCTCCGAAACGAGCAGGACCTGCAGAGTGTTCTCTCCAGAATCCAGAGCGCGAGTGCTTTGGGATCTTTGTGGCGCCATCCTCATTCTGATCGACGTGTTCGTGTCGCCAGTATCCATCGCGTGGGAACTGGAAGTGACACCGAACAGTCGCGAAGCTCGACGTCGCAACGCATTTTCATGAATCTGGGTTTCTCGTGAGGGGGGTGGGGTTTCTTGATCCTGGAGCGCCTTGCTGGGGCTCTGGTGGCCTGTGATTCTTTATCAAGAGAGTGCTTGGGATCTGGCTTCACTCTTCACTGCTGCCAGCTTGTTGATACTGACACCCTTGATTGGGTTTTTGTGTGTCCGCGTGTTTGTAGTCGGCGAACGATGCAATCTGAGGACATCTCGCTTGCTCTTTTCGCATGGGTGTCGCTGATCTTCTGGTCTCTGGACTTCAGTCTAGATGACAATCGCTGCCTGCAGCAAGCATCTCTGTAAACGCGCACTGCATCTTCCAGAGATGTGTCTTCTTCGGGTCCCTGTTGGAAGGACATCGTCATGAACTTCAACACTGCTTTCTACAGCAAGGGGCTTCTCCGGGTCCGACGGAGGGAAATAGCCCGGAATTATGCCTCAACATGGCTGCTATTTGATGTGCACCCTGGCAACGGTTTAGCTTCTTGGTCCATCTTGCCGAGGCTTTAGCAAACAGTTGTGCATGTTCTTTACCAAGCACGCCGGGGCAAACCAGACGGAAGGGTCCCAAAGGCTAAAGAGCAGTGTGAGGAAGAGGCCAAGTGCCATTTCCAGCTCGCAGGTAGCGGTGCTTCTTATCGTGTCTATGTCTAGTTGATGTGCACCCAGGGGCGTCGTCTCTTTGGACTTCTTTGGCTTCGCCTCGGAGTCGCAAGGCGAAGAAAATGGCAACTACGTCAGCTCCTTTCGAACTGCACGCAGCTTGGCCCAAGCAAGCATCCTCTTGGCCACTTTGAGCTTGTGGAGTGCTGCTTACTGAGGCATCCTGCGGGTTCTTCGGGCACTTCGAGTGGTTCGCATAGTCAAAGCTAGCAGGCTGAACGTGCTGGCCGAGAACATGGCCGACTCCTGAGCACAGGCTATATATACGTGGCCAAGTAGCGGAGGCGGATGCATCAGGCGCCATG